TACCAAAGTTGTCGTAAAGGTACGCAACAAAGAAATGTGTTGTAATTGTAAGAGTAAGAGTAAGTGTTTGAAAAATCTTTGAAATATTATGAGAATGGAGCCGTACCTTTTTGTGATTTAGGTCTCCGATGGAGACTCACGGGAAACCTCAGGTCTCCGATTAGCAAACACTTTTTTGTTTCTCATAATTTTGCTTCCCTTATAGCAAACCTTTTTGTGCACTCCTTGACCCAACTTACAGCGCAATAACTAGATCATAGCACTTTCTCCCTTCCTTGCTAGGGCCCTAAATTGTTTTCCCTTAATGAAGAAAACGCGCTCCAAGTATACGTCACTGCAGTACTTGTCCTGATCGCACGCATTTCTATAGCTTACAAAGGGGACTTCGTAATTGCCTGGAATTTCAAGCGGGTATTCGTTCTCGTAAGGTTCAGGAGGCCTCGTGGAGTCCTGTTCTTCCCTCTTCCCTTCTCTTTTGATGTAAGTTATTATGTATATCCTGTCATTATTGCGTTGATTATTCTAACTACTAAAGTGCATTCCAGAAAAATTACCATGTTTAAACAGATAATCATCTTACCTTATCTCTAGCCATCTTCAATACTACCTTGTCGAGGACGAAAGATGTTGTCATAACCTAAAAAATGTACTCAAACTAAACACGACGTAACTTTACAAGGCTCAGACCAATATTTCAGAGAAAATTATCAGACCCACCTTTTGCATAATCTTCTGCAGCAAAGGTTTCTCTCTACTAATTTTCAAAGAGCCTTTCGCTAACTTTCGAGCAGTATCTATGGCTACTTCCTCTAGATATCTGCAAGCTTATTATTAGCAAAATTTGCTATTGACTGTAGTTAACGCAATCCACCTGTGGGTATTTGCAGCAGCTGGTTCAAGTCCATCTCCAAGTGGCTGCACAACGGAGTCGACCAAACCTATCTTTTTAGCCTAAAATTTCAAATTAACCATAATTTAACGAGTAGGTGGTGGATGTGGTAACTTTTTGATGCACATACCTTATCAGCCTTGACTTTCTTTCCAGTGAGCATCATATCTAAAGCATTTTGAAGGGATACCAATTTTGGGAGTCGTTGAGTACCTCCAGCTCCTGGGAGTAGTCCGAGCATTACCTAAAATATTAAGTTCTACAAGCAGAAGCAGCTCCTAAAACAGAGAGTGATGTCTTCTATCTCTTCACAATATTTAGAATGTGTTCAAAATTGATTAATGAACTTCCTATATTGAATAAAACTGTTGATATTCGTTATAGTAATCGCGCCAAATGCTACACCTACAT